TCTTATTACAAGATATAAAATGTTAATAATTTATAATTTTTTAAATAACTAAATATTAGGATTATAGAATAATATTAATATAGTATTAAGATTAGGATTATAAGATAATATTAATATAATATTAGGATTAGGATTATAGGATAATATTAATATAATATTAGGATTATAGAAATTAATAGGATAATATATTGATAAATAGAATGATTACTATATATCTTATTACAAGATATAAAATGTTAATAATTTATAATTTTTTAAATAACCAAATATTAGGATTATAGGATAATATTAATATAATATTAGGATTAGGATTATAGGATATTAATAGGATAATATATTAATAAATGGAATGATTTATCATACATATCTATTTAATATACTTTTTGTAATAAACTTAATTATAAAAATGAAACTAACTAGTGAAACCTCCGTTAGATTACCGCGGTCGGAAGTGAATTACAGGCAACGTGGGACACGAGGACCATTGCAGTGTCAGATGCAGCGACAGGATGGCTCGTGGACCCTGGACACGCGTGGGACGACGCGCAATGGTGAGCGCTCAATTTAGACGCTCATATAGTAGACACAAAGCGTCACTTTACGTCGGTTGCATGCACGTAGACGTAAATCGCATTGAGTCTGACGAGAAGTAAAATAAGAACTGGAATTTGCAATTCGCCGGAGTTACGTAAGAATGATGCAACCAAAGAATTTAACTCTGAGATTATCGCAATAGTTCAACGAGTCAAGCATTTCCATTTCTTTAAGAGTAGCTCAATTCTTAGAAAATTGTGCAAAAAGACGTGACTGATAAAAAATAAATAACTGTTTCTTAATTACTTTCAAGTATATCACACACAGCACGTAATATTGCAGAAATATTGCAGTGATATTGCAATATAGTGGTAATATTACATATCACAGTGAAATATTACAGAAATATTACTGAAATATTGCACTTTTACATATATTATTGAAATATTACAGAAATATTACTGTAGTATTACATATGTATTATTGAAATATTACACATTTATATCATTGAAATATTACACTTATATATTTGCAATCCCAGGTAGCAAGGTGACGTTTAAAACATTATTACGGCGTCATTTGAAGTTACCTTCCCTTACAAAAATAGTATTTTTTAAAAGTTTCTTTTAAAATTTAGTATTTCGATTTGTTTAATTTGGATTTTCTTGGATTTTTTAATTTTTTTTTGTTTGGATTAATTATTATAACATCTTGTTAAAAATCTAAAAGTAATTATCACTGGTTCACTACATCAATATTTATCGCATATCGAATGTTGTTGCATTGTTTCAATATCTATCAGCAAATTATCCAACAAACACTAAGTAAAAATTATATAACTGTTATTTGATGTTTGCTAAGTATATTATAATGTACTGTGAACACTATAAGGATATATTATATAAGCATGAATTGTAAGAACATCGTTGGAGTCATCAGAATCACTGCGTGCGCGCTCGATCGTCAGGTGAAGCGACAGTTTAATGCAGTCAGGACATGGATGGGTGCCAATGATTATACTACTTGGGGTCGAAATTATCGCTGGAGGATTTCACCAAAGTTTGGAGTGTATTTGACAACCTTCGATACGTAGTAGTTTATGAAACGTGAGAAAACTAGGAATACTATAAGTATATTTTTTTAAATATTATGATTTTCTCACAGTAATATCATTGTGATTTTCACCATTATATTACTGTGATGCATTTGCCGCGGACATTATATTACTGTGATATCTTAGTAATATTCCAGCATTATTTCTGTTATATTCCCTGGTAATATTGCAATGAAAATATAATATTGCTGTGATATTTCTGCGATATTACGTGCTGTGTGGGATATAAGATGAGTAAACTTGAGTTTTTTTTGTTTGGAGAAAGAAATAAGAATTCGCAAACGAAGATATCAATCAAAAAATAGGAAAAAGGGCAATTCGAGTTCAAGCAAAGAACTAATAATGTTATAAACCATATGGGTAAAAAACCTTCCTTGTGTTAGGAAATCGTGTAATATTTATTGAACATGAATAATCAATATAAAAAACAATCACGTTTCGGCTCAACCATGAACCCTCTTCAGTGATAATAAAAACTCAAGGTTTACGACACGAACGCATTACAATTAGTTAAAGACCTGCGTAAATTGACATGAATGTTAATCGCAATATTAAAGCTGACAAGACCGTTACCGAAATAATATTAAGTAGTTAATTAATATTGAGAAGTAGTCGTCATAACTTTGTTGAGTTCAGCTAAAAGTAAACCGATCCTGTCAACGATAACATCGCCACGTCTTTTTTTGTTTGATTTAAAAAGATGTAAATGAAGTATCCATTGATAGAAGCTTATAATATTTTGAATTGGGTCATTCTTGCATAACAATGATCAATTGAAATTTCAACTCGGCAGGCTTCCTTCACGTCTGATTATATTAACTAGATGTTAGCGCTTACTTGACGATCGTCTTTATTCAATAAATATCTAT